AGGTGAGAAACAAAGCTCAAAACAGAACAGAAAAATTATACAGAATTAGCATTGGTGTTCCAACATGAGACAGGAAATAGAAAACTGAAGTCTCTACCCTTAATTCAGCTCATTGTGCTTTGTGTAGCCACTCTTGCAGAATCAAACATTATTAACACTACTTGGGGAAAACTCCCACTGCTTTTGCTGGCAGAGTAAGGTCTGTGTGACTGGGATAGCTGCTCGCAAAGTGCTACGAACCTGTTCAGTGCAAACCTGTCACGAATGGAGCCTGCAATGTCTGGCTTTGCAAGAACAGGCCTATTTTCAAATGCAAGGTGCTCTGATGTGTAAAGTGTCTGAGAAAAACCTATTAAAGGTGATAAATGATGCAAAACGTTATGTTCCATGGGAGAAAGATGTCATGGTATCAAAACTTTGCTGCTTACTCACATGGAGTAGCAAATTTTGGATGTTGACTCGTATTAGATATAAACATAAACTACCCGTGAATCTTTCTAAAACATGGCTCTTGGCAAATGCGCTTTTCTGAAGGAGAGGGGTGCAGTGTCAGGAATTCAGGTTTGCCCAGGGTAGTTGGGGTCCCCAAACATCGTACCCACTCAAACAGATGCTCTGAAAACCCACCATGAAACGCACGCATGCACGTTCCAGGCACAACGGAGGAAACAGGAACATTTCTCCTGTAAATCTGCAGGGAGGCCACGCTGTTGTGACACCACGCTGCTGCTGAGTGGCAGTGTGCATGTGGATTTTGGCATCTGACTTAAGAGATAAAGGCTCAAGGAGCACTATAAAATGGTTCTCTCAGCCTTTTAGAAGCAGCTAAATATCCCCAGCCTTCCAAAAAGTACATTGGGATCAAGTAATACATGTGTTGAAGCAAGGAGGGACACCAGCCTTGAGTTTTTGTCTGCCACAAAGCAAAAACAAACTGCAAGTTATATATGGCTCCATTTGCACTTTTTTGGAAAAGCTTTTTCAGTTTCTTCCTCTCTTCGAACATACTGACATTGCCAGCACCCTCTCCTTGCATCCCAAAGGGAAAAGATGTATTTAATACGTATTTAATGTGTGATTCTCAGAGCTCCCAAATCAACAGCAAGAATGGTCACAGAAAACTAAGCCACTGCTGCCTCCCCTGCTGCCCAGGGTTGCAGGGACATGTGAAGAGGAAGAAATCATCCCTGTGACCTTACAGCCTAGCAGAAAGACGGATCTGTTTCCACAAAGACTTGCAAGTCCCTCAGATGTCTCCAGGCTCCTTCAGCCGCTGCCTGAAGCCAAGCTCTGCTCTCAGCCGTTGCTCTTCTGATCTTGCTAATGGCTGTCGCCGGGGGAGGTGGCACTGCTCATTTGAAACAAGTGAAACGAAGGTGTAATGAGCCATAGGCAACCTTTTGCCTTTTGAACTCTCCAGGGTTCTTAGTTAATCCACATTTCGTAACCACAATTAATTCTTTGCTGCAAGTCTTGGGAATACAGGGGAAGAAAAAACACATTTTGGGGAAAAAAAGCCTGACTCACAGAAGTACCAAATCAGTTGGATTTCACAAAATTCAGACTTTTCATCTGCTGCCGGTATTTATGTACACTGTGTACCTGCTGGGCTGAAGGCCAGACTGCCCTGAATGTCTTTGCCTTCCCCCACAGTGGGAATACTGGGCCTCTCTTCTGTGAGACCTTTTGGAAAGAAAGATCAGTTATTCTTTGGTTTTAATCACTGTCATAAAGAGAGCTTTCCCACTGCTCAGTTACAGCAGCAAAGAAAAGAAGAGGTAAAAAGCTTCGGAGGGATCTCAGAAGGAAAAAGCAAAGGTGTGCTGATGTGATACAGATCATTCTAAAATGAAGCTCTGCTGTTTTGCTTTCCATCGTGCTAAAAAGGAACATTGGTGTGAAATGCATCAGCGTGCTGTGTCTCTATGTACGGCTGCAATGGCTGCTCTAGAGACAAGTGCACCGTGTGCCTGTGGTCTGAGCTGCACAGAGCACAGCTCTGGTGCTCCACGAGTTTGAATGAGGAGGGGTTTACTCTCAGTTGGCATTGCCTTTGCAGGAATTTGTGAGCACCAGCAGCAGGCAGCTGCCATCCAGATAACGTGTTGATGAAGAGTAAGACAAGGAGTATTTAGCTGCCATCAAAAGCACGGGAAAGGAAAGAGTTTTCAAGTCGATGCAAAACTTAATCATAGTCTAAAGATCTTTAAGTCCATTTTCATACTGAACTAATGAGGGAACAGTACTGATTTCTGCAAAAATTGTCCCGGTCCATCCCTGCTCTCTACTGGACTTGCAGCCACACATTCCTACTGCCCCACGCTTGCAACTTCATCCCTTGTTTCTACTGCAGCAAAACTGCCCAGAGAAATTTCTGCACCCCTTCTTGACTTGTGAGCCTCCCTGAAAATGCTCAGCCTACATTCTGACTCTGAGCATTTCTGCAGCATTCAAATGTTAATGCGAAATGTAATCTACAATATCGCATTTGAACAAACAGCAATCAATCTAATACACTACAGCTCAATTACTTCCTTGGTCTCTGTAACAGGTGCTGTCAAATAAAGCTACTGAATAAATCAGTCCCATTGTAACCATTAGGAAGGCTTTTATAACAGCATTTGCTGAGTGGGAGGACATTTTTCTACTGACAGTCAGATAAAAATCATACTAATCAAGAGAGACATGCAATACATGCCTTGGAGGTGAATTCCTGTTTATACTGAGGTCTCCTAGTCCTCCACTCATTTGAGGACTCTGATGCTACCACAGCAAAGAGAACCAAGCCCTTTGGATCCAGTCCAGTTTTCATTATGGATGGACTGGGAGATGCCTAAAATACTGAAGCTACCTGAATAATATTTTCACACTGAGAACCTTTGCATCATCTATGCCTTATTCTTCTATCACAGCTTGTCCCCTCTTATTCCTCACAGGAGACTCACAGGGACCTCCAGCAAGGGCACGTGCAGGGATGGAGCTGGGCCCCTTTACACAAAATATCTCTCTGTACATTTCTGTTATGCTACTGCACTCTATTTGCAGCAAAATCCATCTTTGCTTTCATGTGACTTAAAAAAAATATTGCCCCTGAATATTGCCTTCCTCGTTCTTGCTCCTTTTACTTTAAAAATGTTCATCAGAATGCACTCTATGTCTTTTCATAAAGCTCCATGGTCTGGAAAATAGATCAAGAGAATGACACCTACCTAATAAAAGTTTCTCCCCCTGCGGGGATTGCTCTTTCCCCCCCGCACGATGTTTTGCAGTAAGATTAAGCAAGTGAAAGCGTCAGCTCTTTCTGAAATGAGAACAGCGCTGGGATTGTCTGTTGGCATCGTGCAGTACGGATACAGATGCACAACAATAGCAGATTAGTAGATAGCAGCTCTGCAACCATTATTCCTTTAGCTGAAATGTAAATACTGCTCCTCTGGGGGAAAAACGGAGAGGCTGCTGCGAGCACAGCAGGACAAAGTCCACAGGGCTCCAGGGGGTTTCAAAGTTCAGGAAGCAGAAGGTCAACAGAGAGAGGGGCTCTGAAGGGAAGGCAGAGAGAGGAGGGTAACACGGACAGAACTAACAGGAAAAGTCACCCCAACGCCACCACAGTGTGACATCTTTGGCCATTTTTCTTTTCATGCCAGCAACACATGTGACTGCTCACAAGAAACCAATGGAAACTCTGGGGATGGTGAAAAAAATGGATGTGGGAGCATGTGGAAATGTTAACCAAGCGACCCAGTAAGATGCAAAGATACAAGAACAGCTACAGTGGCCATGTTTAAAAGCCTCTACTATAACACTGCCTCTGGGAAGCCTATATTTTGTTCTGCAAAGCCTCTATTTTATCTGTGCAGCATTAAGCCCTGTGTTTTCTGGCAAGGGCTGTACATAGCTCAGTTATAATGAATGAAATGAGCTGGTAACAGTTGGTATTTATAGGCTCAGTGGGCTGGTGCTCCAAAAAAATCTGAAAACACTTTAAAAAGCCCTTGGCTCCAAAGCAATGTTCACAATCCCTACCAGCTTGTGGGGACATTCGGGAGGAGGAACGGCAGGAACAATGACCATGGAAGTTTCCTGAGCTGTGTGCTGAGCATCTCCCAGTCCAGTTTGCAGAGAGTGAAGGATGAGTTAAAACATTAAGATATGGAAAAACAAGATTGCACGTCCAAGATTACTGTCAGTATGAATGCACAAGCTAAGTTCTGCATGATTTTCTGTGGAAGGGCTCATTCATGAGTAAAGGCAAGGTGATGAGATCAATAGTTTGCTTAAGGTAATTGGGTTGAATATTGCTAGACACATAATACAGTGGCTCATCATTAATGACACCAGATACCTCTGAGCAAACTGGATGTCTGCCAGACACAGAGGTGAATCTCTTCCTGCATCCTGGAGACCTACACTCCAAAAAGGCAGCAGCACAGGTCTGGACCAAGCAAATGAGCCATCGCTAACACAGAGCTTTTGTAATTATAGACCAGTTCCTGCACCGCGGCGTCGGTGCAGCCCAGGGGACCAAGGTACAAGGGCTGTGACCTTGCTCCTGTATGAACTTGAACAGTGCTGAAGGCTCCACCAAGATAAGATTGCAGGTTGCACGTGCTCCGCAGTCGTGTGTTTGAGCTCCAGGTTTCTCAGCTGCTGATCGTGCCTACCTGCTGATCTGGGGGCTTGCAAGAGAGTGAGGTCTTTCTTGGAGGATAATGGCATTTTCTGTCTCCAGTATGAGATATTTCAGAACCAAAAAAATCCCCCACATCCAGCAAGAGAGGCAAATTCTCATTATTTTGCTCAATACTGAGAGCTGGCTGGGCCAACAAATTCTATAGTGAAGTCTGAGATGAGAGTTATCTCTAAAAAAGAAACAATAGATAATGCAGAAATAGGTGTTTTCTTCAGTATTCATCCTTCCCTAATCAATGAGCGTGAGGTTACAGTGCTGCAAGCAAAGGACAGATGGAAAACCTGAGAATATAAGTAGTACTACTTACTACAGACGAAAGGTCCATGTTTATCATCCTCCTGTCATCCAGGTCGACTGGCTGGAGGCCTGCAACATTGATCTGGACAGAAGAGGTTCTGTAGACAAACCGCAGCAGCCAGTCTCCCCTAGGAGCAGAGCAGAAGGAGGATGTGAATAAATCCTGTTCACAAACCAATGTGGAAGCACAGTGATGACCAAGACCTGCTGCAGCTTTGCCTGACACACGAATCAGAGCAGTTGCTGAATTCAGGGCAGGTTCCTGGGACACAATAGTTTAAGTCTGAATTTAATCCACTACGGGTGTAGTCTCATTACATGCAGTGGGTTTAAGAGTGTGGCCCTTCTATTTATTTCTGTATTTGCTTAGAAATTGCAATACATTCACATATTTAATCTTTTTTAATATACTAAAAGGTGGAAGCTTTCCAGCCTGTAGACAGCTGTAAACATGATGAGGCCTACAATACCAATGTTGCTGACATAAATATCAACTGGAAGCTCCTCAGAGTTCTCCTGATTTATAGGTACTGTATAAATACATGGTTTCAATGACAAAATTAGGAGGAGTCTGGTCCCACTGTAAAGTATTGCCTTAAGTCACTCTGACAGTTCAAGAGTAGACTATAGCATGATGAGAGAATTTCGTACATCCTTTGGAAATATATGACCTCTTCTGCGCTGAGCAACAGCACCCGGGCACCTAAGTGAGTAGATTTCACTTGGATGCAAGTGATATTTGTACTTTGTGATGGCACCATTTCTGGCTGCTCCTGTCCACCCCAAAATGGTCTGTGATAGAAGTTGTATGTCTACGTGGAGCTCTGCAAAATCTTTACGATGCATCCACACAACTCAGGCATGGGTTCTTTCAAAAGCTGAGCAAGTCTAACTCATTTGGTTAAGGTTTCCCAGTAGGAATTTGTCACCCTGCTGTGAAATCGGATGGGACAGCTCTGACAGCTGGCTTTCACTCTCCTTGTCCTTTCAGACTTCAAAGCTGAAGGAGACAAACTACAGTGGACTGAAGCTCAACAAATTGGGCCCAGATCTGATCTTGCAGGAGTTTTATTCGATGTAATTCATCTGACCTAAATAGAGTTACTCCTAAAGTGACAGAACGAGGCCACAATTTCTATAAGCGAGAGACCAGAGAAAGCAGAATCAGGTGAGGTCTTACCACAAAATGTTTCCCTCATATCTAATATCCTCACATACATTCTCCATATCTCTCAGTTACCTCCACTGCTGCCCCTCATGCTGACTGAACAACCCTCAAATTCAGCATCTGAGGGCAAAGTAGGGAACCAGCATAGTGGAATATTTCCTGATAGTCTCCTCACCTGCTTCTTCCTATTTGTGAGCAATAAGCAACAATTGCTGCTTCATTTTTCATTCAACATTCAAGACGTGGGCTTGCCAAAACAGACTAACCAAATTACTGCACACACAGAGGCACAAACACACACACTGTTTTATTCCAAAAGCACATGCAGGCTTTGAAACTATAACAAGATAATTTTTTTTATATATGTTATAGGAAATGAATACACTGAGCTTTTTGCAGGAAAATTGATTTTTGTATAACACAAGGAGGAACAATATTTGCCAGGGCAAATTCAGTTATATGCAACAACTGCCATCATTTATGGCTTCTTGGAGCAACACAGAAGCACTCCCAAGGAGGCAGCAATTGCTTTTTCCTTATGTCACATGGAGAAATACTGGAACTGGTGTGCACATCCGGCATCCATAAAACCTCCTGTGTTCCAAAAAGGACCAATTTTCAGCCTAGCTGACAGATGGGATTAATAATTTGTTGTTTTAATCTTGAATGTTTTAAATTCTTTTATTTAGTTCTTCTTCGTAAATTAATATACTATGTTAGATTCACAGTAACACAATACTCATCTCATACGTGTGTATGTAGCCATACATATGTATGTGTGTACGGGGAATACCAAAACCATTTAAACTGTCCTTGACCCAAGGGCTCGCAGCTTTATAAGCTGTCTTGACTTGCAGTTACACATTCTTTGCTAATCTTCTTGCCTGGTTATTTTTCAATTTATTCTCTCCCATGCTCTCAGTCTTCCCTGCTTCACTCCTTTGTTTTAATTTCCCCTCTTCTAATTGTGCTGGTAAGCAGTGTTCTTGTCACAATTATCTTCTGATACACAGTCACTAGATTTGACACTGTCACTTGAATTCTTAATAGCTTTTATAAGATGCTTCAGCTGTTTTGTGCCTCTGGATCTCCCTCTTCTCACCTAGCAACTCTCACAACTCTGCACAGCAGTTGTCTGCACAGTTTTAAAAGGCTGATACTTGGTTTCAAGGTAACCTTTCTATGCTTTCATATCCTTAGTGAGTTTGCTACAGCTATTCCAGCGATACTTCCTCTGTAAGTAAAATATCTCGTTCACATGGATTATCTTGACCAGAAAGTGACTCTAGATGTAAAAAAACAATTTGCTTGAGCTCCTTCCCTTCCACTGCAATATTCACATCTTGTTCCCCATAAGCAGCCCCTAGTGAATTGTATCTCCAAGTTTTTATAGATTTTAATTCACATTCTTTAACTGTCAGTGAACTTAACAGCCGTATTTTACAGTCCTTTACGTAAAGCTAAGTTTTAAAGGGGCCTTAGAATATGTCAAATTGTGCACACAGACACAATGACCCAGCTTTAAGCTGCCAGAGTGATATGACACTGCCACTGTATGAACAGGACACATGTATTGAGCACCTCGGGCTCCCAGCTTCACATTGCAAACAGCCAAGAGCTGGAGACAGAGCAGCCTTCAGCTGTCTCCTGAAGACTGTCATCTCCAGTTAATCTGAGGGAGAGATCTCCGGAGGGAAGAGGCTCTGGCACTACTGAATCACTGCACTCACCGGCTGAGCAGATATTCACTTATAAAATGTTTAAAAGGAATAAATGTACAAAATAATTTCAAAGTGATGCTAGGATAATGAAGCAGGGGACTGAGCACGTACAGACCTGCAGTAACCATTTATGATCTTGCCTGACACCACTTTTGTGATAGCTTTCCAGTACTTGGCTTCTCCTTCTACTGGAGCTCCCAGTAAGACCACATCTTCAATGATCCCTTGAGAATCTACGAAGACAAAAGCAGAACAGCTCAGATTTAGAACACGGATCAGAAAATATCTCTTTGCATGTACATGAAGGAGGCGTACGTTCAGATGTGCACTACAGAAAAATCATAATTTCCGTGGTTTAAATTTTAAAGACACAAACAATGGAGAGGAGGATCTTAAACATCACTCTGTGTAAATGTTACATTCCAGCGAACATGAAAATCAGAGATCCTGAGACAGTGAAAGGAACTGGGCTGATGGCAAGAGGGAGAAGTAGCCTGGCCAGAAAGATGCAGTTCAAGCAGCAAAGCTGGGGAAGGTTCTGCGCACAGACGCATGGGTTTGCACAGAGCTGAACTATGACGCTTCGAAACAGGTGAAAGGGACTGACATTCCATATAGTGGCAAATGTTGTCATATATTAAGCATGATAAACTCTTCCCACAACCAGTCCTTAGAGCTGAGTTTGTGAAAAACATGACCTGTACATGCAACAGAAAACCCCACATTCTTAAAATGAATTGGGAACTAGCAACTATGAAGGCATTTGACAACACAAAGTGATAATCTCTCAAGCTGGTTTGAATTACTTGAAGGATTCTTTAACCTGAATGCCCAGGGCATGATTTGCTGAAAAGAATGTTGATTTTTAAGCATAATAAATCTTCCTCTCTTATCAGACAGCTGCAGCTGGGGAATTTCAGTAGAAATAATGATTAAATGAGAAATATTGGGCAGCTCTGCTACTTTCCTAAACTCTTAAACAATGTATTAATAGCTATTCATAAATCTTCTCTGCAAAGAGAGATCAAACACCTGATGCTGTAGCAGTTAAATGAAATTCACAGCAGCGCACGTCCTAGGAGACTCCTGCGCGTAGCACAACAAATCCTTACCCGCCACCTGTGGGAGCCCGGCGTTCGCAAGGCTGGCGTTTGCAGTTTGTAAAATAATATGCTGAAGTTTATGGGGAAGTATAAATGAGAATGACTGTATACCACATCCAGTTATGATGGAGAGGTGCTGCCTGGCAAGACTTTTTAAATGTAAAGCAGTTGGTTTCCTTTCCCTCATAGCAGTAAAAGGCTCAGAGCTGCCTGCGGTGCCTGCATCTTCCTCCGCAGTGTAAATCCCAGTGCCTGACACTGATCCAAAAGAGCTCTCGTGGTATTTTTTCTTATTGCAAAGCAAATTTTGCACCAGTCAAGAAAGCGGCAAAGAGCAATTCAATTTTGTTAGTGTAATCTGTGAGCAGTAACGTCCTGTTCCCATAATCACGAGCAATGAAAAAGAAACCAGAGCCTTGCGAACGGGGAGCTTGTTCCAGCTGAGGTACTAAATTCCATGGCCACAGTGTGAGCCAACTGAATAAACAAACAGCTAATTCATCCCGAACATTTGGGCAAGGTATTGGAAGCTTTTGTTTCTTCAGTCCTTTGTACAGCTTATTTCTTGCTCAGAACAAATATGCTCAGCCTTGGCTGAAAAACACTCATTTTCTTCAGATGCTGACAGAGGGGGACAGAAACCTGAGAACAGATCACTGGCCTACATAGTTGCTGACACTCTAGATAAATTAAATGTATTTCACAGTTTGCAAACCTTTTATATGATGAAGAATAATAAAGTCTGCACAGCAGGAAAATGAAGGGCCAAGGACAGTGTTTCATGGCAGAGTTTGGCAGCAGCATTCGTGATACCTGAGCACTGCAGGGATGAAAACCCAGTGGTGATACTGGTCACACAGGTGATTCTGCAGAACACTGTGATTGCTATTAGACAAAGAAGTGTGTTTGGGGTTCAGGTTTAGGCTATTATCAACTTTCTTTAGTTTACAATTCTTATTTACTAAAATACATGGGAATCACATGGAGAAATCAGACCAACGATCTCCCCATGTAGTAACTTGCCTCTGATGGGTCATTACTACTTCTTCTGCTATAATGTCATTTTCTGGAAATCCACTAAGCTCTGCCTTCCAAAGTCATTAGTGCTGAAGTATCCCAAAGGTTATTTAACGGCTTTGCAGAGGAGTATTTTCTTTTAACAGAATTTGAGTTTCTGCCATGGTGTTTCACTGCATAATCCATGCAGTTATTTGTCCTCAGGAACGCCACTGCCATCTGGACACAAAAGGCCTTGTATTCCTTTTGTGTGAGACATCCAAGTCCAAGCCCAAATCAGTCTCAGATGTCGCAGGTCCCAGCTCTGTTCCTTCTGTGGCTCACGCTGGAATGTGCATGCAAAGAACGCCTCGGCAATCTGCATTAAACATGCTGCTTTTCATCTCGCAAACAGCTCAGCTTTCATAATTCAATTAAGGAACTGAAAAATTAGTGTACAGTGGGAGCTGCTATGATACATAATTATGATGCTTAGATTTCTTTAGAATGGCAGCCAACTTTAAAGACCCCTAATGATTTCCTTTCACGTATTACTTAGCTACAGTCCCATGTTATTCCAGCAAGAGACTGTGGGCTATTAAACAAAAGCCTGAAAATGTCTCAGTCCCTGGCATTCTTAGGAGACAAAATGAGTAGATTTAGGGCCAGATTAGGATCTGGGTTCTGGCTTCAGTGTAACTCCATTAGGATCATCCTGGATTTGATTAGATTTATTTAGAGAACCGAAATCCTGTATTTGAGGACTTCCATCTCAAACCAGAAGTGAAGTTCTGGTACACAGCTGTCGACAGAAAAAATGCTGACCTTCTCCATCCTCACTTGACTCTATTCCCACTTTCTTGTACATTATTGAACATTTTTCTTTATAAAGCTCCCTATTTATTATTTTTTAGCCCTCTCTGTGGGGCTAAACAGTTAATGAATTAAATCAGCTACACAGGGGGGAGGGCAGGCTGCATACACACACACTCACTACTGACTCAACTCCAAGATGCAATTTACATCAACTGATCATAACGATTTTATTCTGTTTTTTCTAAATTAAAAATAGAATCTATTAATAAACAGAACTACAACGGGTAATAAATTGACAGATGGTTTTATAGCTGACTTTAGGGAAAAATTACCATGAAAATAGCAGATGACAGTGGCATTTCAGTGACTTAAATGGAAGGGAGGACTCAGGGAATCAGATACAATAGCTGCAGAGAGCTCCCAATAAAGGCAAAGCATCCTCTGCCAAGATCACAGTGGCACATGGGCAGCTCACAGACTGATCCAGCAGTCGAATGACACAAAATGTCAGGTTGTTGTTTACAGGTTGGGGACCAAACTGACACCTGGAGCACCTCGAGTGAAGACAGCAGAATTAATCCACTGAACTGGTGGAAATAACAGAAGAATTTGGCCTCAGATGCATTTCAAAACCATTTTTTCTAGGTTTCTGTCCTGTCCTAGAAGACCGAAGCTCTGTTCCAGAACTCTTCCTCCCAGAAGAAATACTTATCTACCAGCAGTAAGGAAAATAAAGGAGAAAAAGGTTAGGAGGTGAACTTTACCTTTTTCTTCAGCCATCTCCTGCAGGCAGAAGTAAATGACTCTTGCACCCAGACTGAAGCCGATCAGTGTGACAGGTCGCTTGCCCTGAGAAAGAAGGAAAGGAGGAAATGCCATCAAACACTGTTCTAGACCTACAAAAAGACCACAGGATCTCCAGGCCCTGATACACAAACCACTTATGCTTGTGCATGATCTTTTAAACGTTTGAGCAACTTGGTGGATTTCCATGGGACTATGTATCCTCAAAATTATGCACAGCTCAATATTAAGAATTCTGCACATCTGAGTATTTTTCATTTTTTGATATTCAGAAAATCATTTAAAAGAATCTAATGATCAGAAGTCACCACAAAGCAGATGTTTCAAACAGAAACAAAGCAGATGCTCTCACTGTTCTGCAGTTTCCAAATGAAAGCCCAATTCAAGGAGCAAAATTTTCCTAGAAATGTTTCAATAAACAGAAGACACAGCTGCAATGCAAAAATATTGACCACTTCTAGACTTAGGAATGAATGGCAGCAGCGCTGCGTGGCTGTTACAAAAATGATGTGGAGTAAGCTTTTATTTTGAATAGTCTAATAAGATTTTCTGTAAGATCAAAGGGAGCCTAATCTCAACAACAGTGAAAAATGGTCTTTGTATTAACCAGGGAGCAGGTGTGTGAGGTACTCCCTAGACATCACGCTAGCTAGTTTTAGGTGCTCCAGCACACTGGAATGTGTGTTTTCACAATAGTGAATGCTTAAAAGGCAGTAAGAAATGCCCCCAGGCAAAACAAAGGGCTTGTATAAAATAAAGTTTATTGCCTTTCCTGGGATTGTATTTTTATGAGAAATCAGGTTTGTTTCTACTCTGCTGTTTCACATCATTGTAAGTTTTGACAGGCAGCTCTGGGGCCACGGCTCCCATAGGGCTCCTCTGCAACAGATACCGGACCAACATGCCTGTGAGACGAACACCTGGCCAGCAGAAAGCAGCCTCTCTCTGTGCCAGTGATAGCGCAGCAAATAGCAGGCTTTGGGGGCAGAAATGTCTTTTGCAAGCCTTCTCAGGGAGGCTCAATAACTTCTGTCACTTCTTTCATGTACCAGCCCATTCCACTTCTCCGTAGCATGGCTCACAGTGCATCTACCGCTGCACACACTCACACTGTTTTGTTAGTGCCTCTTAATGATCAGTGAGTATTTCAAATACTCTGTATTCTCTTTTCCTTTTCACTTATCTTTACTTTCTATTCTCAAATTTCTACTGGGTGAGTTGGCCTGGCTGTTATGGGACACGGTCGAGCCACTTCTTAGTTATGACCTGGATCTCTTCTTCCTTTAGAAAAGCTTTAGGTTAAATGGAACCAATCTTAGCAAGAATTCTCTGATTCACTTGGGACTTCCTATTTTTCCTCAACGAACCAGACACATGCTGACCATTTTCAGGCATAATTTTTTAATTTTTCCAGTTTATTTATTCAGTTTCATTTTCTTCTCCCCGAAAAGATACCACCTGATAGTTAAGTAGCAGGACTATAAAACTTAACTTCTGTGGGCCAAATCCCTTCCAGGCATCATTCCTGGATAATTTCTAGCCAATTACCTGCTGTCGACTGAGCAGGATACGTGCGAGGTGTTTGCCTACTTCAGCAGAGCGATGGAGACACACGCCCCAGGGGTTGTCAATGACATTGGCAACGGTCAGGAGCGAAGTTGGCCAGGTCAAGGCTGTCACAATACCTGCAACACACAAAGCAAACAGCACGGCATAGTCACAAATCTGGGCTGCTCTTAGGAAACATCAAAAGCAAGATGGTTCACTGAAGTTAAAAGCTAAACCTAGGACCTTCTGTCATTTCCAGTTCTTCTTTCTCAAGAGCTGATCTTAGAAATGTTTTGCTAGACTAAAGATAAGAAAGGATCTGATGTTCTGATACCGAGGCAAACAGACACTATACATTGAAAGTAACCTGCATGTTTGAAAGGTTTATGTAAAGCAGTAAAACGCAGTGTAATAACATAGAGAAATAAACACAGTCACGCATGAAGGAAGGTGTTCCCAGCTGTAATTTTAAAAGAATGAGTCAATGACACAGAGGCACAACAATCCAGGAAAGCAAAGCTAAATTACAGGTGTGGCAGAGAAGGTTCTCAGGCCACTTCTGCAGGGCAGTGCAAGGGAGATGCCTTCTCAGAAATCTTCCTTGTTCAGGAAAGCTCCTTTAAACAGACACCAACAGTCAAACTGCACAGGAGCCACTCAAGCAGATCTGATACACTTTAGGTTCTTACCTGACAAGACAGTGAATTTTAGGGCTTCTTGAGCCATCATGTTCACAAAACCATTCAGCAGGGAATCTAAGGCGCTGCCAAGCTCCATCAAGTACTTGGATTCCCAGGCCAGACAATACTGCTCCCTCGATTGCAGCATGCTGCTCCATGGTGCTGTGAAGCTCCCTGAGAAAGGTTGCAAAGATGGAATTCGTGTTCAGAGAAAACACAACGGCAGACTCCTGGCAAGATGAGTCCACAGAGAATCAGTAAAGAACCTGCAGGACGCTGGAGTATACTGTGATAACCAGGAACCATATTTAAAAATACCGTGAGATTGAGACTCCGTATTTCCAACTGTGTTACAATAAACTTGGGTTTTGTAAATAACTGTGCACCTTCCTGCACCGCATCTTCCCCAAACAGTACAGGGCAGGTTGAGGCAGCTGCTGACCAAAGTGGCACAAGAGAGCCCCGTGCCAGATCACATCACAATATACTGTCAGATTTGTGACGTAAAGACGGGTTAGTAACAAAATTCATAAAAATCCTGTCCTCAGTCCCTCTGTTTTAAGGAGTCACGCAAGTGTGCAAATAGACAGACATAGCTGCAAGGAGGAAAACAGCTGACAATTCTAGTTTTGATTTTTCAAACATTATAGCAGATTGCTAGTTATGGAAGAAGAATGTGTGTCATTTGTAACTCCCTTTTAAGGGCAAACAGACACAAAAATGCTCCTGAAGGGACACACTTGTCTTTGTAACAGTGCCTGGGAGCCCTCCAACCCCATGGATTTGGACCCCTGGCAGGGAGACAATGAGAAAAGCCAAAGCACAGAACTGCACAGTGAAAATAACCTTACCCTGACAGCAAGCTGCAACCTAACAAGCAACAGGACAGAGATGTCCTCCTGCATTAATGATATCCAGTGTTAATTGTGATGCTTCTGAATAAACTGGCAGCTGTTCAGTCAGGCTGCTGAACACATCAGCAGACAGTTGACATATTTTATATGAGAAACTATCCTGGAAAATAAAACATTACAGACTTTTCAAGGTTGCTGCCTGTAAGTTCACCTCCTGAGTGCTGCGCTGAACATGAATGATTTACTTAACAGAACTTTCTTGCCAATAAACCTCATTATCTGGCAGATACTGAGAGAGAAAAAAGACACTATTTCTCTTAATTACTGGAGGATAAACATAAGGTCTCAGAGATAGGTGAGACACTTTGTACTAGTGCTGGAAATCATCCACCCCGAGCAGACTTTTCCTAGCAAAACCAGACAGCATCTATTAACAGAAACAGAATCTTGCTATGACTACTAACAGTCATGTTATCATTGCCAATTTACTGCCCTCTTTCCTCTGTTTTGACTGGGATTGCAGATTGGGTTACAAAGTCTTATGTTAGGAGTTGATCTCTCTTAGTCAACAGCCCATACAAGCATGGGGAGGACATGATGCTACGAAGGCACGAACACTGCTGTGAGGGGAGCACAGACACAGCTCCCCAGGCTCCTCTCAGTTTCCTCATCTTGTTCTTACCATATTTGCCAGCGCACAGCCATCCAGTAATTGCTATGGTGATATGAAGCTGCTTCCCTTCAGTAAGTGGGAGGAATTCAAACTCTTCGATGGCTCCCACACGCTTCTTCATCTTGTATCCTACCCACAGAAGGCAGAAACACGAGTCTCAGAAATTGCACAGCAAGGACACGCTCTGCTAACATTAGAAATTCATAAGAAACTACTTGGGTAATTTGGATCAGGTTTTTTCCTTTCCAAAACTCTCAGTCCATGCATTACTTAGAGCTTGGTATGGAGCCAACATGATCCTTCTGAGCTTGTGTGATCTGAGAGAATACCAGCAGAAGGCTTTTTTGCTGCAGACCAGACATCAGCTGTAACAGCCACTGCTCTCCATGGCAGCATCTTCCTAATCCAAAGCAGCAAGCTTTCTTTTTCTTCATTAGCTGCATACCAAATATTCTTTTCCTACTTCATCATCAGGTGCTACACAGTATCTTCATCAACATTGAAATAAAAATTTCACAGTTGTAAGATTATACCTCAAGTTGCTTCCCTTACTCTGTAGAGGGAAACACATTAACCCTGCATTTACAGACGTGATCCTGTGTCTCAGTAGCTGAGAAATGTGCAGTCACTCTCTTACCAGTAAGGCCAGCTCCAGCTGCTCCAAAAAGAGATGCCATGACAGCAATTCCAGCAGTCGAAGCTAAAGCAGCTGCTCCAGCACTTCCAATGATAGTAGCAGCTCCTGCAGCAACCAGAGGGGCAGCAAGACCCCCCGTCAAGCCTGAAGATGCAACAAATAATAGCACCAAAATATTATCACTTAGAAAAATGAGGCAGTCGTTTCCCTGTGCTGTGTGAGTACTGCCAACGCTACTGAAAGAGTACAGATGATGGGTTTTTTGCATCAAGGGGCTTTCTGAGACCCTCCCCAGGCCCTGAATCTCTGCACAGATTTTTTGACTGACTTCAGGAAAAAGGAATAATTTAAAAGTCAAAGGAAGAATGTGTGGTAGACTGGGGTAAGCTATGCCTTATTTGCTTAGGAAACATGGACCATCTCACACTACTCTGAATTTAGAGTTAAAGATTTGATTTTCACAACACAAGAGCAAAAGAGAAAACATTTTTTTAAGGGCGATGACCTCCATTTAATATTACTTCAAGCCAGTGAAGCTACACTGGAATAACTTTTCCAGCTAATTCTTTCTGTTTCAATTTAGAGTGGCTGGAAAATACTCTTCTTGGATTTGGGGTTTCCTCTGTTGGATTGGGGTGGTTTTTTTGTTTAGTGTGGGTTTTTTTGTATCTGCAGTGACAATACTACCTTCAGCCTGGCAAAAAAAAAGCAGTGAACACTTTAAAATGAGAGCTTGGACTAAAAAGTATGATGGCTTCTGTTGCTCATTCAGACACCCCCGCCTCTGCCCCTAGTACTATGCACAGAATTCAGGAGCAAGTCTCCAAAACGCCTAGGGCAACCTCACCGATCACTGTTCCGCCCCCAACGGTTGCCAAACCGATCAGCAGGTACCTCTTCAGCTTTTGTCTCCTTTCCTTCTTTTTTCTTGATACTTCTGCAGTTCTGTGGGGGGATTAGAAGCAGAAAAACTGACGGAAAAGCCTGACAGATAACAGTGCTGCATCAGAATCTGCTTTTATTCTCCTCAGTGTAATTTCCCTACCGGGAACAGTAAAAAGTCACATACAGGTGCAGACTGTGACAACACACTCAGATTTATGAGCATGAACATAAACTCACAGATTTAAATGGAAACAGTTTAATCGCTGACAAAAGCCAACAGATGTTACTTACTTGGACTATCCTTCCTAATAGGGCTGAAGCTTGTAAAAAAAGAAACAAAAAGTCAAAAGCATTTCAGTAACTATATACTGCCTGTGTGTCTTAAAAAAAACACAAGAAAGCTAAGTGGAAACAGGGAAAAGTGTTTGAAACAAAAGAGAATAGGTGTAATTTGTGCTGACAAAGAGATGGAATTAAACTATTTTCCAACAGAAGTGTTTATATTTAGCCACTAATTGCACATCACAATATAATAATATAATAGGTATTAAACACAGTCATTAGTTCATTTGTCTGCCTGCATTTAAGCTACATTTTAGCAAGCTTATCAGAAACAGGTAAATAAACCTAAAAGAAACAAGTATCACTTATTAGGCACTTCTTTGGGCTTCTCTCCACTGTCTTTTGTTTCTTTTACAAGAAATACTTCCCATTTCAGAGGAAAGTGCAAGAAACAGAGGATACTGGAATAAGTTTACAGAGCAAGGTTCCTTCTAGCCTGCTCACACAGCAGTTGATCTGGGCCTTGAAACATGAGAATTTATCTTGCTTCCAAACTTGGATATTTTCCCTCTTAATCCTAGACTAATTGTGGATTTTCATTATCCATATAATTGCCTAATCCTTCCCGGAACCCCCTAAGCGGACTGTAATTTTGATAAAGACAGTTTTAGATGAGTCCCAAACAATATGCAGCTTTGTAAAACACAGCAGGAGGAGAATGAAGCACAGTGGGTGAAATCCCTGCATCGCTGAAGTCAATGGCAGGACTCCCACTGAACTGCACGGCACAGAGACTTGGGCTCCACAGAGGTCCTCCAAAAAACATTGTGTGTTCCCTTCTGCAGCAGCAAACGTAGCTGCCTACAGAGAACAACAGTACAGCCTGCAATGGCTTCCTCTTCAGCAATTTCTGTATAACCACGTTCATGTTCTATGGTGGTGAAAGCAGTATTTGACTGTGCACTTGTTCATGCATGCAGTCATCAATCTGAGTGCCTGGATTTGGGAAAAAAAGCTCCTGTGTTCTTTAAACAGATGCTGCAGTCTGACTGTTAATACCTAAGTCGGCAATATCCAGCAATTTCTATTCTACATAGTGGTTCATCAGCTTTTATAGTCAATGTGATGTTGTTTCGGGCTGAAAATAATGACCTCAAGAGAGCTGAAATACGGCTAACCTGGCTTTAGTGGCAATAACGAGCAATTTGAGTTATGTGGGTAGAAGGATCAATTACAGCAAAAGCCTGCCTGAAGATGCTGTAAGTAAAACTACTGCCATGAGAACTTTTACTTGTCATTGCTTTCCTTCTGTAGCTGCTGGCAACAGCTTTTGACAGTTGCTTTCCTAATAACTTCTGCATTACAATTATCACTTGATTACCAGACTGCTTTTTATCCACTGTGGTAATTAACTGCCTCTTCTGCTACTTCTCTACCCTTAGTGGTCTTGGATATGCAGCTTCTTGCCTGAAACACAAATTACATTCAGAGAGATTTCATAGGTGGAATTCCAGGTCATTTTCCAAGGATGAAAGGTGTCAGGAGTACCCGTTAGTGAGCAACCAACGTCAGGTTTTCCAGTTTCTTACAGAACCATGTACAAAAGAGAGGTTCACACCTGTGTATCAAGACATGTTTGGTGCTGGTAAGATGGATTTAACTGTTCGGAGCATTGTACTATATACGACCATACTGTACATTTAACCGTGCACATTCTGGGCCACAGTCCAACACACACAGCGGCAATGGCAGGAGCAAAACCTTCTGTTCACAAATATCAGAAAAAAATGCCTATGGAAAACCTCTGGCAGTGGATGGTCAAAGCTGGAAGCATCCTAAGCAGATGTTAATGTATTCCCTGTCCCAAAAGTCTGTGAGGTCGAAGCGGTGACAGGTTTATATTCCGCTTCCTTTCCCCATTGACTCCTAACTTTAAAACAAACAAAAGGTCATGGATTCCCCACACTTGTTTTAGCACTGCAATAATGAATGTGTTCGCACTGCAGTCTTGGACTGCTCTCACTATACATTTTTTCCCCCTTTTATCTATCACAGAATCACAGAATCCCAGAACGT